CAGGAGACGTGGTCACGGCTTCGGGGAGGACCAAGTCCCCATCAGCACCAAGAATACAGGTTCAGAACACAACTGGTTGCAACATTCAAACTGTGTCTTCAAGCGGTTTGAGGGTGGTGTAGTCTTCGGCGAACCCTTTCTGTTGCAGGCCACGATTTGAGTTAAATGATGTCTCAATTTGGGCTGACAGAACAGGTGCCCAGGTCACTCATCATTTATTTCGTCTGTAAAGATTTCATGGTTTTCCCCATGTGTAAAACAGGATGTGAGGGAGCTTAGTACTTTGTGTGCAGAAGGCCCCAAGATAAGGCAATCGGGGTGAGATTAACACATAAGTAAACTAAGCACATGCCTAGAGCCCTACGTGAAGAAGGGGCTCAGTTGTGCTTGCTTTACATATTACAGTTATCGAGTTAAGAAAATATAGAAATTTCATCTTCAGCTGGGGGCCCATGAGTTTGTTTGCCCAGGGCCCACTCAAGAGTTACCTTCTGCCCAGGGCTGGATTAACGTCAAATTATCAGCATTAGTTATGCTCTCTGGGAAATGCCTTGAACAAGTGAAATCTTAGTACATTCAGCTCCAGGGATAAAGTGTTCACCCAGAAAGGTGGTTTTCTTGAATGTCACTTTCTTTACTGGACTGTTCATTGAGAGTCAAACACTCAGTTTCTTAACAAAAATGGTCAGCCAAGCACTTCAATCATGTGACTAGCCCCACTGAAATAAAAAGGACTGCAGTTTTGTTTTTGCTGGAATGAAACCTAAAACATGTCACTGAACCTGTGTCCTATTAAAGAAAAAAAAATCTTTTTCTTTCTTTGGGTGTGGGACAAGTTATCTTAATTTTTTTAAGGGCCATCCAAATCTTCTCTCCATTGAAATAAATGACAAAACTTGTAACTTTCAGTGGGAGCAGGACTTAATTTCTCTTTTAAACAGTGTCTGACAGCAATGGATGTGAAGGACTCCCTTTTTAATTACTGTCAGAACTGGAGGCTATGTAGAAAGGCTTCCCATCTACTGAATCTGAAATTCCCTCCATCCCCCTCTCTCAGATACCACAAAATAACCTTATTTATGTAGTTTAGTATGGAATTGAAACAGTGGCTTCAATTGCATCTTTTCTTTACAAAAAAAATTATGAAAATTCATTTTGAACTTTACTTTCCCCCTCATGGCTGCAGGTGTCTAAAGCTGTCTGTTACCAATTTGTGTTAATATAAAAAAGCAACAAGAGACTTAAGAGAAAATATTTATTCATTAAGATTTGAAATACGATTCCAGTGTAGTGGCACAGGGCATTAAACAATCATCTGTGTACTGTTCAGTATGGCAGAAATTTGGCTAAGTACAGAACTAGTCTTGAAGAAAACATTTAGAAATAGTGTTTTAAAAGAGGGCTATATTTCTTACAAGATCAAGCCTGGAACTCTTTAACCAAAATTCATTTTCTAAGTACACTGAATCCCTTGAAGAACCTCTTGTAAGAAATATAGCCCTCTTGCAGCATGAAGTTACATTCTGCATGGTTTTATTTCGGAGTGGAACAAACAAGTTCTAATACAACCCCTACACATCACATAGCTAACATATTAAGTATTTTCTTAGAAAGTTTATAGGCAGTGTTTTAGCATCTTAGACTTGTCCCTGTCTGTACCATCAGAACTAGATGTGTATATTCCAAAAATATTTTAACATAATGAGGTTTTGATTCTTCAATTGATTGCTTGAGAGTGAGTTGTGTTTTCCACGTGGAGCACCTTAGAGTTCAGGCATGCTTTGCATGGGAGCAGCAGTTTATTCATGCATTACATACTGAAAAATTAAGGCCCTTCGGGCAAGGAATATGTATGCTTTATTTATGAGAAAGATGAGGAGAGGTCAAAAGGGAAAGTACTAGAAGTGCTCTGAAACACTCAAATTAAAAGCACAAGTTTACCGCCACGTGGAGACCAACTTTGGAAAATTTTACCTTAGAAGTAAAAACAAGATTAGATGTCTCACAACCTTAACTATAGTGAACATGAACAGAAATAGCTCTAATAATAGGATCATAGGAAAATAGGGCTAGTAGGGCCCTCACAAGGTCATCCAGTTCAGCCCCCTGTTAAGGCAGAATTCTTCCTGACTAAGCCATCCCAGCCAAGTGACTATTTAACCCAAGGGTGCTCAACCCCTGGCCTGTAGATCTGTATCATCCAGTCTATGGGGTTTCCTAAGTGTCTGGATACTCGGTGGCAGGGGAGTTGTGGCAGTGTTAATTACTGATGCCCTGATACCGCCAAGTTTTCAGACCCAAGTGGAGATCCACGAGTTGGATAATATACCTCTGCATGCTATCAGGCTGGCATGCGACTGAATTGTAATGTGTGGGACTGGGCCCACGGGCCAACCCCATGCTACTCATCCAACTCACAGGGCTCGAAGGTTGGCTGCCATTGGTCTAACCAGCTCTTAAAAAATTTCCAGGGATGGAAATTCCAGAGCTTTTTAGGTAGCCTATTCCAACACTTGACCACCCAGTCAGAAAGTTTTTTTCTAATCTCTAACCTAAATTGTCCTTTATTGCAACACAAGGCCCTTGCTCCTAGTCCTGTCCCCTACAACCACAGATAATAGAATATCTCCATCCTCTCTATATAATTTGAAGACCGTTATCAAAATCTCACCCTGAGACTACTCTTCTTAGTGAGAGAGTTTTTTCCTAATATCTAACCTAAACTTCCCTTGCTGTAACTTGAGACCATTGCTTCTTGTTCTGTCATCTGCCACCACGGGGAACAGTCTAGCTCCATCCTCTTTGGAACCACCCTTCAGGTAGTTGAAGGCTGCTATTAAATCTCTTCTCAGTCTTTTCTTCACCAGACTAAATAAGCTCAGTTTCCTCAGAAGTCATGTGCTCCAACCCCCTAACCATTTTCATTGCCCTCTGCTGGACTCTCCTTTAATTTGTCCACATCCTTTCTGTGGTGGGGCCCTTGAAACTAGACAGTACTCCAGATGTGGCCTCACCAGCATTGAATATAGAGGAAGAATCATTTCCCTTAATTTACTGGCAGTGCTCCTACCAATGTAGCCCACTAGGCCATTAGCATTCTTTGCAACAAGGGCACATTGTTGGCTTATATTCAAGCTTACTGTCCATTGTAACCTGCAGGTTATATTGAGGTACTCAAGTGGCTGGCATCTATACTGATATCTTGTATGCCATTATTAAATTATTTATTGTACTTTTGAATCATAGGTGCTATTTAAATAGCATGTAACTACCTAGTTTCCTCAGTTTTAATGCAACTACCATTTGAAATATTGTCTTCACAAAACAGTAAAATAAAATATGCACTTCATTCCAGATACAGGTGATTCATCAGATGAAGAGTGTATATCTTTGGATGCAGACACAAACATTAATTTTATTTTCAATAAAGGAATGCCACTGCAGTAATACACAAGCCCTAGGGTAACTAGGTCTAAAATAAACAGACAATTCACATAGGAAATGATAGATGAATTATACAGGAGTTGAATGCATATTTCAGTAAAAAATTAAAAGTTCCTGAAAATAATATATATAAAATCCTCTTAAAAGGTTTAAATATATTCTGTCCAGCATGATCTAAACACAAACTGAGGCAAGTGTAAAAGTTCTTTGTTAGTAGTATTACTGGCTTGTTGTTCAGTTCTGCATTTTCTGACAAACTGAGAAGTTGGAGTTAACTTGTAATAGTAAACAATTCTGCTTGGTATTTTTCTAATTTTCAATAACAAATAATCATTTCCTATTTGTAAAATTATGAAAAAGTTACAAAAACAGGCACAAAATTGCTTTAATGAAGGTCACGTATGGTTTGTGGAAGAGTCAGGAATGGAACCCAGGTCTCCTGGGACAGTCCCATGACCTAGCATGGAACCCAGGTCTCCTGGGACAGTCCCATGCACTAGGCAATGGACCATGCTGCTTCCCAGAATACTCGTTTTCAGAAAGGCTTGTGCAAAGTAATTTTTCATAACAAAAAACAAACCAAATGTCACAGTAAATTTTTCATACCATGAGAGTTTCATGTGAGGTTCAAATCTAACTCTCCTAAGCTATGTGTTTCCTCATGGATATGACTCCTAGGTTCTGAAAGTACAACTGTGGTTCATGGAAAAAAAAGCCCAAAACACCCTGCCCTTAAGGAACAAGATACTTTAAGCCCCTATAAAGTTTTTAATTCCAAAATAAATATGAACATTGATTAACTAACTGGAGACTCCCTGATGTCAGTTGTTCTGTAAGTCTTGGCACAAAAAACTCCTACATGCAGGCAATTAATCATGTATGCTATCACACCACATTTTAGCCATTTCCTTTTCTTAAGCATTTGTGCCCT